AAGACCCAACACCTGAACCAGTGTGACCAGTGCTCTGGGAGGACTGGGAGGACTGGGAGGACGGGGAGGCTCAGCTGGGGCAGCCCGGGGTGACAGGGCTCCCAGAACAAGCTGTGTGGTCGCTCTGACTCCCCTGGGAATTATTTCCCCACCGTCAGGGGTTTGTACATCCCACACCCGGCACCGGGACCCAACCCCCGGGATCCGGGATCCAGGAGGGGCTGGAAGCGAGGGCACCTCCGACCTTTCCCCCCCGTGCCCGACTCCTGCCTCGGCGTGTCCCGCCTTTGGCTCCCGGGGGTTTTCCCTGGAATATTGAAATCCACGTCCAAACCCCCGCGGGGGCTCTGCGGTGTTCTGGCTGCTGAGGGAGAAATTCCCTAAAATCCGAGCGAGGAGCAAAAATCGGAGCCTTGAACTGGGCAGGGCCCGGGGCAGAGCGCTCGTTACCCTCATTTGCATTTGCTGCTGCTCCCTTTTAATTAAAAGGCCCCGCGAAATGGAATAAATTAGGCGTGCATGTTTTATTCAGACAAACACCGGCGAGCGAAGGAGAGACGAAGGGTCACGGGACGAGACACACTTTATGTACAAAATCCGGCCAAAAAATCCCCTGCTGAGCTGACCCAAGCGAATTTTAACCAGCCGGACTCGCTGCCCGGGGCCAGCGGGGAGAGAGAGAGTTCCTAAAGTGGGGCTCCCGCGGGACAAGGCTTAGGGGGCAGGGCAGGCGGCCCCTCGCTCTGCCGACCCCGCCGACGCCCCAGCACCGCAGTTTTGGGGGGGGTTTCGGGGTTTCTGGCGCGTGACGGCGTCTGCAGGGAGGGGTTTTAGCTCCTGTAGCTTCTCCGGGTGGAGGAGGTGGACACGAACTTCACGCTGGAGCTGCTGCCCGCGGCCAGGGCGCTGCTCCCCCCGGGGCCGGGGGCGCAGCCGAAGCCGCTGCCCAGGCCACACATCCCCCCGGCCACGCTCAGGTTGCTCCCGGCCCCGTAGCCCGAGCCCACGGTCGTCCTGGTGACGGCTGCGAGGAGGAGGAGGAGGAGGAGGAGGAGGAAGAGAAGGGAAAGGCTTTCAGTGCGTGCGGGCGCGGGGACACGGGGATGTTTAAATAGGGATCGGGGGACTTACAGATGTTCACCGGGACGCCGTCTCCAGCCAGCCTGTTTGGGGAGGGGACACAAGGGGACAGGGTTAGGAGTCTGGTGAGGCTGGGGGGGAGCAGCAGGACACGTTTCCTACGGGCTTTCGGGGGGGGGAAAATAAAATCGCGGCGTAGTTAATGGGGCGGGTTTTTTTGTTATTTCCCTTATCCGGGACAACCCTCCCCTCCTCTGCCCCCCTTAAAGCTTCGTTCAGCACTCCAGAAAGGCTGAGCACCCCCAGCGCCCCCAGCCCTGTGCCCCCCAAACACCGGGGAGGGCCGTGTGTCCCCCCACCTGCACTCCTCGCCCTCCAGCAGCTTCCTGTAGGTCGCGATCTCGATGTCCAGGGCCAGCTTGACGTTCATGAGCTCCTGGTACTCGCGGAGCTGCCGGGCCAGGTCGGCCTTGGCCTGTTGCAGGGCGTCCTCCAGCTCGGCCAGCTTGGCCTTGGCGTCCTTGAGGGTGAGCTCCCCGCGCTCCTCGGCGTCGGCGATGGCGGCTTTCAGGTTGGCACACTGGGGGAGACAAACCCGCCCCTGAGCTCCCCACACCACACCCAGACTGGTCTTCACCTCCCCTGAAACCACCAGGTTTTATGCCAGGATGCTCAGCTTTATCCCAACACCCTCAGGTTTTATCCCAAACCACCAGGTTTATGCCAGCACCATCATTTTTATCCCAGCACCCTCAGCTTTATTCCAGCACCCTCAGGGGTATCTCAATACCCTCAACTTTATCCCAGCACCCTCAGCTTTATCCCAACACCCTCAATTTTCTCCCAGCACCCTCATTTTTATCCCAGCA